AACACGTTAATAATGCCAGATACTGCAATTTGATTGATATGAATATAATTTGGAATCTGTTACAGAAGCCTGAAAACGCACACATGAACAGGTTCAGGAACAGCTTTCCGGCCATTATCAGACTGTTGAATGGACTCTAACCTCAAATAATGTAACCTGTGTGCCTCTAGGTCTTTTTGATGTATACATCCTTTGCTTGCTGTGATTTGCCTGTACTGCTCGTAAACAAAGCTTTTCGTTGTATTTTGGTACACGTGACAATAAAAAAAAAATGAAGAAATAAGTTGAATATAGGCAGTTATACAATCAAACTCAAACAGTATGTGAATATCGTAACAAATTGCAATGCTATGCATGCCATCACTGGTAAAGTTTGTAGGTATTAGACACAGAGCTTCGTCCTAGTGTCACTGCTTTAGAAGGGAAATTCAACCATTGATCTTAGATTTATTTTATCCCTGGTCTTCTAGTCTTCATGCATTGTTCATTTTAAAATCTAATTAGGAACAAAGGTAATTGTAGCTTTTGTTTTTAATTGTTGCATTAATGTCTTCCTGAAAAGATTTCTGATATTTATAAGCTAAGGCATAGAATATAAGAGCAGGGTGGTTATGGTCATGAGACCACAACTGGAGTACTACATACAGTTCTGACCACCGCATTACAAGAGAACATAAGACACAGGAATAAAATTAGGCCATTTGATCCTGGCTGATATGTTTCTCACTGCCATTCTCCTGCCTTCTTCCTGTAACCCTCAATCCCCTCACCAATCAAGAAGAACGTGATTACTTCAGAGAGGGTACAAAGGAATTTCACAAAAGTATTGCTTGGACTGGAAAACTTCAGCCGTGAGGATGGATCAGACAGGCTGACATTCTTTTGTTTGGAACAGAAGAGGCTGAGGGGAAATTAAATGATGCACATAAAATCATGACAGGTCTCAAATGTCTGGGACAACCTCTTTCCTTTAACAGTGAGGTCATTACTTCAAGGGGCATAGATTTAAATTAATTTTCAGTAGAATTAGAGGGAAGTTGAGGAGAAATCTTTTCACCCAGAGAGTGGTGTGGGTCAGAAGCTCATTGATAGGGTGGTCAAGGCAAAAACGCCTCATCTTATTTAAAAAGTATTTGATATACACTTGACTCAAAACAACGGATCAAGCCTTTGAAAGTAAGATTAGGCTGGATAGCTCTTTCCTAGCTGGCACAGATTGAACAGCATATTGCGTGTCTGTATAGCCCTTTCCTCCTTCAGCAATGGGAAAATTACAATGATTTATTGGGACTGATGTATAGTTTTTTTATAGAGCCATAAACATGAATTGAAGCTTTGAATTCCGAGAGAAAGTAACATTAAGTAGCCCATTACAACATAACTCTTAGGCGTCAAGACTTTTTCATATTGTAGAACATTTTCATGTTACAGTGAATGCTGTAAAATATTTTTAATGGCCGGATTTTCCATCTGTTTTTGGCAATATATGAAAACATTACCCAAATGGTGAGAAGATGGACAATTAAGACCAATAAGCTTAAAGCAAAGACTAACGATCATTAATATTCCAGGCAAATTCTAATGAGCTGCATTCAATGTGGACAGTATTTTTATTCGGTGTGACAAAATTTTTGCAACGAAACATCGTGGAAGTGATTACAACATGGTGTGGAGCTGGAGGTACACAGCAGGCCAGGCAGCATCAGAAGAGCAGGAAAGCTGACGTTTCGCGTGTGTCCCTTCTGCTGAAGAAGGGTCCTGACCTGAAACAGCAACTTTCCTGCTCCTCTGATGCTGCCTGGCCTGTTGTGTACCTCCAGCTCCACACAGTGTTATCTCTGACTCCAGTATCTGCAATTCTTGCTACCTTATTGTGGAAGTGATTGGGGCTTTAGTCCTGATTTTCTGGTCTCTAGATTGTTGGATATTGAACACATAATCCAAGATATATCTCAGGATGTGGAAAAACCTATGTTCTGACCTGTGTGCCAATTGCCCAGGATGTTTAAACTTCTGACAGGCAATTACCATGCTCCCTGATCCTCCTCAATCCTCTGACTCTGAGCTAGAGTCAAAGATTGCACAACTCTGTGGTACATAATTGAATAGTTACTCAGGAAATGTTAGACAGGAAATTTTGATTCTAATTTCTGGGTAACTACAGGACTGGCTGCCCAATCATTCAAACTGACCCCTCCCCTTCCCCACCAATTCCCACTATGACTACACCACTACCTCTCCAATACTTCAACTAACCCCACAACCACAAGTTACACCTTGGCTTAGCCATCAGCTATTCCCAACTGTCAATCATAAGGTCCTGGGTTCAGGTTCCACTCTTAAGCTAAAACTGAAGGCTAACACTCCAATGCAGTCATGAGGAAGTACTATGCTGTTAGAGGTGCTGTGTTTTTGATGAGATGCTACACAAAGGCCCCAGCAGCCTGCTTCAGTAGATGTAAAAGATCCTGTGGTACCATTATAAAGATAAACATATAAAACACTTTGTGTAAATGAAAAGTATCTGTTTTTGTTGAGAAAAACGTCATGAAGATTGCCAATCCTTGCTACTATCCCAGTGAGAGTAGCCTACCTGTCTGCTCTGAGTATTCTTTTCAGCTAACTAAGATTGACAGCTAACTGTTCCTGCTGCATCTCCATGCCAATCATGGTCCAACCAATTTTCACATGCTGTATCAGTTAATGTTCTCTCT